AGTGAACATTAAGACAGGTTTTATCAATGACCGAACTTCGTAAACGATGTCGTTTTCATTGTAAGTATGCTAGCCCTAATGTCTCTAATGAGTGGTTTTTCAATTATTTAACTCTGATCTAGAGGTTGGAGGGTCATCGTGTAAGCTGGGATTCTCCGACAGCTACGATACCGGTCCCTCTTTGTATGATCAAGGCAATCATTATCACGTGTGTACAGAATGTTGTGAAACCTGTAAAACATAGCTGAGGGAATTTGGAGATACAACCTGGCGGTGCTTGGAGAAAGTAAAACCTATTGGGCACATGATGAATAAGAAAGATCAGCTTTGTTAGAAGGATTGTTGTTTTGTGTTCGTAATGAAGAACAAACCTCGCTTATACGAAGAGTTGCGCTGAAACTTCTAACAGAGGCACGAAAAGTACTTATAGGATAGGAATGTATGGCCAGTGAAATTTCCGGGCAGTGGCCACATCATCAAGCATTCGGGTCACTGAAATTAGGATGGTTTACGGTCCCCGTCAAGGTCATGCACAATCAATGCGTAATGGTTGATCGTAAGCCACGAACGTGCCCATGTGGCGGTGGACGTGTTCGTTCTCATGTACCCTCTCCTACTAACATACTTCTGTTATAACTTCGTTTATGTTGTACAGTCATCAGAGTAGCCGTAGTACCTGGGTTCGGTGGAAGGGTAATCCACCTTAGATACCTAACAATAATTTTGACTTCGACATAAGCAGGTTGGTCATGCCATTTCTGTCCAACACGAGTAGGCCGCAATCGCCGGCACATGTTGGTGATCTGCAGGAACCTAATAGGTCCAGGATCATCAAATCCTCCTTCGAAATAAAGTAGGAGGGTGCTAGAATGCATGTCAAGTTGCAATGTGTAGCCACCAATGGTGGTGGCCGAAAGGATCAAAATAAGTTTTATGAGAAATACCTTGAGAAAGGTCCTATGATCCTGATAGGGGATTTACGCGGCAAGGTTAGGAAAGGCAACAACGTGTGTAGAAACATCATGGAGGAGAAAAAAGGTTAAAGCCCTAGTTATTTTCAACTTTACACGGTTTCTGCGAATTTATTATACGTGGCGCAATATTTCCACAAAAACCCACTTATGAGATTTTCTCCGGACATCACTAGAGAAAACATTTGCATCAAAAATAAGTTCATAAGGTTCATGAAAGACGTGAGAATAAAGAGTGGAACTGATATCGCTTCACATAAACACCTGATAATGTTCAGGGTGAAATAGATTTTTAAAAACACTGAACATAACAGGATTTCAACAAAGCCATTCTTTGAAATACTGGCAACCTGAAGAATTTCAAGATACCTCGCAAAAATGCATTCCAAGACTTACAAGATCTATGAAAAGGTGAGAAAAATAAGTCAGAGCATAACCAGAAAGGTATCAAAGAAACAATAACTTCAACATGTCATTGGAATTGGGCCGCAAGAAGCACCAGCTTAATACGTTGGTCAAGATTCGAGAAAGGAAGACGGTATTCAACAACTATCAAACGAAACTAAATGAAGTAAAGAACTTGTAGTGGCATTGAACAATAACCGCACAATCCACAATGCTGAACACGAGACTACTCAGAAAATAGATATTCAATATTTAACGCGGATAAATACCTAACAATGGAGAAGGCGCGAACAATGAGTTGAAGGTACTGGAGTTGATCGAGTGGCATGGCTCGGCCATGCAGGCGTGGTCTCTGCTGAATGTTACCTTATATCTTCTATTCATATTAAATATATTGGTCTTTCTCTAGCCTAACCTTGTCCTACATCATGTATTGGTAATTGATACGATACAGTGAGTTGGTTTAGTCGATGGTGTGGCTTCCACGTAAGATCTTATAGATTAGGCAGTTATATCATGACAAATCTACAAATTTAGGATTAGGTCTATTATTAGAGCAGTACTAATATCATAGTAGACCATAATTCTACAAGCTAGACTGAATACACAGAGGAAAAAAAGCCATTGACGAGGAGCATTCAAGCTGACAATCAGAAATACGTGGAGGATCTAGCTATGATAGCTGAAATAGATTCGAGAGCAAGAAATATGAGACTGGTGTGCGCTACGTATGCGGGCAGACTTAAGATGTATGTGGCAGGAGTTGTAAGTGGAATGAAGACCAGTAGAATACTAAAATTACCAGAGGATTAACAGATACAGAGAAATATTGGATAACAATATGATTAGAAAAGTGCTGGAGTATGTAAAGAACGACTCATTGACGATGTGCGAAAGATGTATTAAATGTGTGATTTTCACATTTTACAAAGGCACTGTGTGATATTGCTTATCATATCTTGTTGGTTTGCCGTAGCTGAGTGTTCATTCACTGCAAGACAAACATATTATGCAACGAAAAAATCAGCGAAGAAAAAAATGTAAACCAGACCGTTTAAGATAAAATGGGGGGATATATCCTGAATAAAATAGTTTCACTGAATTCACTCGACATCGAATTAGCACCTACAGACCTCCCTACAAATGGTACTCCACCAACAGCCAGAGAAATCAGCAAGGCTATCAAAAAACCTAAGATCTGGAAGGCTGCAGTACCAGACAGCTTTGAAGTCAGACGCCGAAACAACTGCCATATTAAGGGGGTCTCTCTCTAAAGCAGCTTCACGCCGAAGCCCTTCATGCAAAAGGTAGATTTTGGATGGTGGTGAATGGTAACTTCAAAGCGTTATTAACTTATTTACATCTACGGTGAAGATTATCGGAGCTGGGTTAGGTCTTGCAGGTTCATTGAAAAAAATATGATGACAGCAAGGTTTAACGTTGTCAGGAGACCTAAGTGATGTTGTGGTTGGTGAAATCAGTGACAGATCTTCCAAAAATTACTTACCGAGCCTTTATATGTGCATAGAAACAATAAGAAAGGGTCCTTATGTGCCCAAGGATTTTTTTGCGGAGCACTCCACAAACATAACCTGACATCGAATACTCATAACGCCAACAGACGTCTTGTGCTGTGTGCTACTTATGTCGACACAAGTAGTATATGACGTTAGTCATAAACACAATGTCTGGCAGCAGAGAGACAAGAGGACCGAACAGTAAAGAGTGGAATCAGGATGCAATTTCTATGAAAATGCAAGAACAATGAAGTCTGAGTCATTTTAAGACAATTGATAGACATTTTGCAAATTAGGCATTTACTATATGGTTCTCAGATTTTATTGAGATGCTCTGTAATTTTGTGATGAAATGAATTCGATTGTCCCCAGCGGTTTTCTTGTTTACTACAGTCTAGTCTATATTCATAGCTTCTGTAGGCATGTGCTTGCTATTGTGAATCGTCGCATGAGTCTAAAGCGAATAACAACGTTCAGGGTTGAAATAACCGAGTGCAATAATCATCAAGATGACGGTTGGAAGTTTCGTTGTTCGTATTTGTGTATTCGAGTGATAAAATCCGTATGAGTTTTATATAAGCAAAATCATATACCTAAAAATGCCACAGGTACTCGGAGTTTGACTACTCTCTTGTTTGTAAAACCCTTATTGTCAAATGATACCGACCTAGTCCAATCATTAATTAAGAATGAAGGAGTTTAAGATTATATATGGTGTAGTGTCAGTTATTATGTTAAGCCCATATATCTTATTTTAGCTTTCGGACAGCCCCTTCTATTTATTCTACTTGAGTCACATTCTGACGTTGTTATTTATTCGCTTATCAATCTTGACTATTTTTATATGAGCGCGTAGGTGTGTGTACATTTCTTATCCCATTACTCATCACATGCCTGTAACTTACTTTTGTGTAACTATAAATATTGATTAACGCTTAGTTAAATTGGAGTTGTCTTACCAGCCATCTCCATTCTGCGTCGTTTCTCTTCTTTCTACTCCATTCGCTCTATATACAAAACATATGTATTCACAAGTTCATTCTCGTTATTCGACTTATTTAATTCAGTTATTGACTAACGCGATTTAAGTCAATGATAATATACGAGAATAAGCGATATATATTGTTCAATAACAATCATTCACACGATCGAATTAAAGTCAGATCCACAGGCCACTAAAGTGGAGAGCCCTTTCAACAACATCGTTCGATCTAAATGCCGATTAGATAACGGGCCTCCACAATAGGAGGTTATCTATATGCTGGTAAGTGTCTGATCTAAACTGGCTAATCGTCACATGGGATGAGTAGCATGGCTTACCCATCCTCGATCTGCTACGGATGAGTGGTTGATCACCATCAGCTAGGTTGTGTCTGTAGCGCGGCGTCGAGTTGAGATTAACTATGAACACCGCTACCAAGAAACACGTGCCAAATAGATCAGAAGGCGTAAGAAGCTCGTTCCAAATGACTCCATAAAATCCCCGAGAAGCCGAATACCAGAAGGCAGTTAATGGACCAAGTCGAGTTATATTTGATGGCGATCTCGTGGCATCGAGAGGATACCGAGATCGTGCCAGGATACAAGCTTGGTTACAGAACGTAACCGAATTCGCGCGAAGTTACAATCGAAGTGTAAGTATAAGAATAGAAGCACAAAATAGCTGTCATTAGCACAGTCAAACAAAAGCACGTTAAAACAAACACTGGTACAGTTGGTTATGATAATAATTGTTTTTATTAAACCAGTCGTGTTCTCGTGATAAATGTGAGTCACTACATGTCCATCAGAGCGGATGAGGTGGATTTATTTACCACCACATACCGAATTATAACGTCAATAAGACTAGAATGATCCTGGTAATTGATGATGTCAAGAACTAAGCTTGCAATACTTTCCAAAATATAGTACTTATAATTTGGTTTCAGTTAAATGATTGTCTTAACTTTAACCTCGGAATTTTGGAACTGCATGGGTAGGTAAATTATAAAATTCCTCACTGTCTAAAGTAGCCCAGTTAATTTATGATGAGTTCTTGATGAGCGAACTTGATATACTATAAAGACTGAGAATGACAACTGAATTTACTATATTGTTTAATTTCATTGGTCTACTTGTCGCAGATGCTTGAATCCCTCTTTGCAAACATTGAAGACTCCTTTCTGCTGAAAAAGAAAACTTGTTAGGTACAAGAGTTTTACATTCTGTCCATAACTACCTGAGCTTTGTGAATGGATACAGGTTTCAATAACTAATGTTTATTGCTTTCTGATTTTGCGCCACATACAGCGTAACAAGGTCATCTCTATTCCTTGTAAGGAATTAGAATTAAAGTTGGGTTTATCATTTCCGAAGTGGACTTTGCAATGAACATTAAATTAATATCGGCCCAAGGTATATGTAGCCGCAATATCTATCGACTTTTGAGGAGGAATTCAGCATCGCAAGCAATAAAGCCGTTCTTTTATCAAGATATATTGCAGTTGGAGAAACCACCATATGCAGACACACCTTTTCGAAAGCTAACGGGTTCGTAGGAGTATTTTTAAGTACTCAGCGCATTTATAGGAGATCTGGTTTCTATTAAGGAGTTTGACAATATACGGCTTCTGAAAGTCGATTCGTTGGCACTAACGTTGTTGTCCGAGCAAGCCATGATAGACGTTGCTCATCTGCTAAGACCTGCTCACCTGCAAGTTTGTTTATCTTTAAAAGTAATTACAATATATTTCAGTCTCTTTCAAATATCCTCAAGGATCCTGAGGCATCTTGCAACGATAAGTTTGTCGCACTTGAACTCCTGAAGAATGCCAATGTCGCATGCGGTATGATCCTACCTGGTTGTCAGGATACTGGCACGGCTATATGTATGGGGAAAAAGGGTCAGTTCGTCTGGACAGATGGGGATGATGCAGAATCTATTTCACGTGGTGTATATAATACATACACATCCAAGTTCCTTCGTTACTCGCAAGTATGTAAGTTCTCGCATGCTTGTGTTTACAAACCATCGTGAAATACTTTTTTATCCGGGGTCTGGGATTATCCGGATGAATGTACACAAAAGTTTGGGAACCATAATTCGCAACAGTGAAATATACCTTTACTCATCACGACGGTTGCTGCTACCTTGACGTGTTGGTCGGGCTTGCCTATCATGACGGACCATTCGGGGTTAAACTGGCTGGAATATTTGTTCCTCAAGGTCCTACCATGCCAGATAGGTCCGTTAAAGATCAATAAGATTAAAAACAGCAAACCCGAGGTCCGAGGGTGAAGTCATGCTGCTGACTGTACAAAGGTGTGTCGGTAGTAATGTGATTCCCTCAGAAAACCGGCATAACAGTAATGCGGCCTTCCTACAAGGTATGGTAAATTTGGAAAAGGTTGACCCTAGAAATGCATACCTTGCATTGTCCCACGGATTTTTGTCTCCGGTGGTAAGGTCGCAGTGAATACTGAGCTAACATGAAAATTACTCTCAAGAAAGTCGTGTGTAACCAGCCTCAAGTAGTGCCCCTTGGGTACTGCGGTCACGCTCTCAGGTCACTAAGACCATCTTTAATCCAATCTCTTTTTCAGGTACCTCTACTAGGACCCTTCCACGGTGTGGGCAACTGAGAAGGCAAAACTACCCTCATACCTCTAACAGCACTCAAGATCGGACCTTTATTATCCAAAGTCGGTAACTTACATATAATTCTTAGGCTTAGAAAACCATTCATTGACTGTCAACCTCCTTAAGGCAAAGCTTCAAAGGAGGAGTGACAATATGACCCTCCATCGAAGGCACTTTTGTCATAAGTCTTGCTATTTGTATGGTGACGGGCTACGTTCTCAATACATGTAGACACTTTTGATTGTAGATAGGTAGGGGTTAAGAATTAAGATTAGTTCTGCATGTCATCTACTCTTACAATCTGAACCTCGCTGACTTAAACGTCATTCATAATTTAACCAGAAATTACCAGTTCTTATTGTGTTCACTTTTTCGATTGTTAAGGGTTTCAGTGCAGGTAGCTCACTTGTGGTTGAAACCTAAAAATTCAGTAAACGTTTAACTTCCTTGAGTTTAGTCCTATGTCACTTGTCTTTCAATCCTGCGTTATTCTTGGGAGCAGAGCCTATCTACTGTAGTGATTCATCGATAGACAAACATACAAATCTCTACTAGTCAATCGAGTTCGTTGTTTTGGGTGACTTTATTTAAAGGAAGGTTGCGTTCTATATGTTTCATCACTGAATATGTATTGTTAGTTTTGTGTTTTATTATCTTACGCAATTCGTTTTTCTAAGACTTTTTTTTGCCTCTCCATTAGGTTGCTCCGCTAGATCTGTTTACGGAAAAAAACACTTGCACTAATCTACCAGCACAAATTGAAATATATTCAACGAGCGGCAGCGAATACAATTTTTTATTTGTTGCGAAGGGTGGAGGGTCTGCCAATAAAACTTTCTTGTATCAACAGACAAAGGCTCTTCTCAATCCTAATAGTTTGTACTCATTTGTCAGTGAGAAAATTAAAGTAAGTTAACAGTTTTCTCATATCATTTTGTAGACGTTGGGAACTGCCGCTTGTCCTCCGTATCATTTGGCGGTTGTTATTGGTGGGACCTCAGCTGAATTTACTCTAAAAACTGTGAAGCTTGCATCATGCAAGTACTTGGACCATCTTCCGTCAATAGGTCTGTTTGTGTTTTTTTCGCCAGTCAGATCACAGTTTCCCAACTTCTCATGTTTGAAAGTGGTACCTTGATTATGTTGGAAAACAGGACTTTAACTAAATACACTAACTTGCCATTTTATCAGACTAGTACTTTGGTTAAAGCAAAAACACGAAGGTGACATTTTTGGGTGGCATGGAATGACCCTGCTGTTACTGATGTACAAAGCACCCATAATTCCTATGTAATATTTGGATATCCATAAAAACAAACCTAATCCAGTCTCCAAGTGATAACTGTAATAAAACTATTCATTTTGCCATGATGTACAAGGAGCGCCTCAGTGTTATAGTCTGTGAATTACAACAACGGCTTTTTAAAACCAACTAAACATGTTATTCCTCAAGTAACCATTGCTTAAGTAGTTTCTTGTACTGACATAAACTCCTGGTTCATTTATGTGTTCCTTTATGCGGTTATTATTTGATTTTTTCATTTTACCAAGTGTGTTTTTGCAGGAGGGCACTAAAAACGTGATTCACACAAACGGAATTGATGATACATCCACGGTATATATATATCCTGTCATGTATGAGCAACTGAAGTGTGAATTATCAGTTGTTAGTGACTTCATGGACCGATGCTACGTTTTGGTTTGGTTGCCCCTAGCTTTCTCACAGCCTACTCCCGCATCGGGAAACAGCGCCCGTCAGTAAAAGATGTAGCGAAGAAATAAATAAACCTTTTCAAGGTCCTGTACAATTAGTCACATCAGAACTTATGTGGTGAGCTACCACCAGCATTTTCAATCTGAAGTGTTAGTTAGACATGCCCACTATCTCTATTTGTATTTAATTTCGCCACAGATGTCCTAAAGACCATAATTTTTCCGTCTAGCTTTTCAGTGGTTGCTTCCTCTGGAGAGTCACTAGTTTGCTTAGCGTGCTCAGAGGACGCAGTCCTATTCTATGAAGACGCTGACACATTGTGATCTCTTGAATTTCTTGAGTAACAATCTAAGCACATTTGAGATGCATTTCTTTCTTTAAATATGGAATGTTACTTCAAGACTGGTATACATCATTGCCTAAACTGATCATATTGAGTAAATCAGCTGAACTCAGTGACCATCACCTATCTTGGAATTGTTATCAGCCCTGTTGTGTTGGTGGGTGACGATATTTTGGTCTGGGTTCAAAAGTCTGTCTTTTGACTATTTCCATTGCTTGTGTAATAAGCGAGACGCCCGTCTATCTGTTAAAAGACATCTATTTATTTGAGCAAAAATATTGGTACAAAATGGCACCAGATACATATGCACCACAAGTCACTTGGTTTGTGTGTGGGCTGTGATACTGCCCGGGTGCCCAGAGCGAACCAGGTGGTTTTTTAGAGACTTTTGACCTAAGGGTCTGATCCACAAGGCAGTGGAGCAACGTTAGGAGATGTAGTCCTATGGTAGCCGGTAACAAACGATTGGTTCATAAGTGATTTCTTCCTTCAGGATACTGGAGTTCATGTGCATCATTGGTTTGGAATCAGGGTTTTCCAACTCAGGTGGACCCTCCATATCCACTAACCCGGTTAAAGCGCCGGACATTCGCTTTCTGTCCTTTCGATTTTGTAAATAACACCCTGGTGAGAGAATATAGTGAGTAGAACTTCCGTGGAATTGGCTGTATATATGTGGCCACGTGAGAGCATTTCGAGAAGGAGAGCTAGTTCTCGTCACCCTCGGCCATACTAGAGCATGTTGGGGCGTTAAAAAGAGAAATGTAGTGTGTATAAATCCTCTTTATGTTATTTTGTGGATTTGAAACATAGTGTGTAGAAATAAAGGACGTAGAAAGACTTCAGGTTTTTGATTATAAGTGTCTTTAAAGTGTTAATCATGTATCGTGGTGTGATCGGTTGAGTAGTGACGAGGTTAGGTGCAAGGTATTGGGCGAAGATTTCAGATCAATTGGTACGACTAAATTTTCACTGACGTAGCTTGTACGTGTGTTACACGTGCAAAATCACTGTCTGCGTGAATGTACAGTGTCTGAAGTGAGGGTAAGTTTTCTAAAACCCAGAGGCAACCAAACAAAAATGTATTGTCATTTAGTAAAGTGGTTGGCTATCAGACTGGATTCTGTTGATAAATCGAAGCTACTTAGTTGACATCCAGGTGATAACCACGATCACTTGTGTAAGACGTTGAGTGAGATGATTCAGAATTGGTGGCAGTATGCAGTTGCTTGTACTTTAGATCTTTTAATTTGGTTTTTTGTTCAGAATCGTTCGGTTTTCGCATATTCTCACTATCGTTGCCACTACAATTATTTTAAACTCTCTGTTATTCAACTTGCTAATTTAATCTCGTTCCGATCGGGCTCGCGTTATTGGGTTAAAGTACATTTATTTCAGGCTCTACATTAATCCTTACTGACATTAAGAAATGTAAGAGATGGCTCGTACAGTCAGTAAATAAATAAACATCCATAGTATTTCATAAAATGGACAGTCCAGTTAAAAATATAGTCAAAATAAGTTTCGTTCAGCTAAGGTTTATCCTACTTTTACTATGATCTTAGCGGGAAGCTACAGTAGGGTCACCATCGACTTTTATTTCGAATCATATTTTCGATGAAATCTCAAGTCAGTGAGTTCCATGATTTGTGGGACTCCCGCCATTAAGTTTTGATAATCCGTATCATATCATCTAGCCAAATAATGCACGGTTGAAAATCATCTGGATAACATTCATGAAATACGTCTAAGCCACAAGAGCCACTGTTTGAAGTGTTTATTTGTGCGGATCTACAGCTTTTGTTGAGTAACATGACACAATTTTTATATTTTTGTAGTGTTATTAGAAATGGGCCTTTTTTTAAATCATGAGAAGTGTGGAAGTAAGTTCACTAATTACCTACCTTCAAGTGTAAATTCTCGTGTGAAATAGGTGTCCTTATGCATACCCGAAAATTTCTTTTCAAGACATCTTTTCCACTCTGTTTACTGATCCTGTGTTTTGTTCAGTATTTAACAGATAATTGCATGTTCAATCTAGGTAATGAACATGGAAGAGCTTTTCGTGATCGAGAGGCTGAAGAAAAAATATTGGAATTAACTCGGAAAGTTGGGATAGGAGCACAGTTTGGGGGAAAATACTTCTGTCATGATGTACGGGTAATCCGCTTGCCCAGACATGGAGCATCATGTCCCGTTGGTATTGGCGTCTCTTGTTCTGCAGATAGGCAGGTATTTTATATCAAAACAACCGTTTTTGTAGACTTTCTTAAATTGCTCTTACTATTTAGTTGAGCAGTAAGAAAGCTCAATGAGAACTGACTGGACTTTAAAGTTTTATTAATAATTCCTGTAACATTGTGAAGTGCGACTACACAAAATCTAGTCGTATTTTCATTTATATAACTGTACACAACATATCTTGTTTGTTAGCCGATATTCTGTTCCAGAGTTCTGCCTGATTTCTGTTTATTATGCTGAATTTAATTCTGCCGGGTTCCTCAACTAATAAAGGAGATTAGTACCTATGAAGCAAGTAGAAACATTTAAGTACATGAATTCATATTGCAGGATATATCTACTAAGCATAAGTAACATCACTACTAAAAGTACCTCGTAACAATATCTACAACTGTTTCCAAGTGTTCCAATAGTTTAACTTTACTTCTGTTAATATATTATGAAGCTGATTAATCTGTGTCTGTATTGACTCCTGTTTTACTTATTTCTTCATTCATATCTAATATCTTCCAGTTATATGGAAAACTTGTGTAGACGCCTTTCTTAAGTGAGCTCCCTTTGGAAACACATATTAACGCAGTTTAAGGTTCATGGGCACATGTTTACTTTGCCAAACTCATTATTTTGTAAAACTGATTATCAGTTTTCGTGCTACTTTTTCGTGTATTGTTGTGCAATTACAAATAAAGTAGTGTCGGCCCCTCGTTGTGTATTTGGCAACGACCGTTATCAAAAAGTTACATCAGTTGTGATTAATCAACAGATAATCTTTTATTTGAGGGCTGTACGTTTTCGTTCATGATATTTCGGACTGCATTTAATCAGTATCTCTTGGGATATGTGCATCCTGAATGACTCGCTTTACTCATTAACCTAGTGGATAATGTGTTTGCATTTAAAGCGATTGATACTGGTTTTAATTATCAATGTAAGCATCAACACTACGTTCCAGGTATATCCAACCATTGGGTTTTAACTCGGACAAAACTTGCGCTTTGTACTTCACTGCTAACCAAAATCTGAAAATATGCCAGGGAATCTTCCATTCAGTGGTTAGCTGGCTTTTAGAAAAATATTTATTCACTGGATCCTCTCTAGTTTTTTTTCGAACGACGGTTATTTTTTTAAAATAAATGCTGTTCGAATCATTACAAATCTGTGTGCTGTAATCAGGTATTCAATCCTTTTTAGATTCTGGGAAGAATAACTAATGACGGAGTTTTTCTTGAGCAGTTAGAAAGTGATCCATCTAAATATTTACCTGATCCATCTTTTAATCAACTTCCGACTGATGTTGTGAAAGTGAATCTGAATCTCCCAATGAAAGAAATTTTAGCTGAACTTTCTAAGTACCCAATCAAAACTCGTTTATCACTAACTGGGACTTTAGTTGTCGCTCGTGATATCGCCCATGCAAAGATCAAGGTTAGTTTTCGAAATAAATCGCTGTGTGTTAAGTTTTCCGTCTGTGAAGTTGTTTCAGTATTTTATGCCTGTCCACATAGTGTTTTCGGCAAAACTAATTACAGTCCAAGATCTGTCTTACGCGTTTTGATTTGCATTGTGCCAGTGCTGCAGAAATTGCCGAAACTGATAAATTTTATCCTGTAAATGTTAGTTTTATGGATGCTTGTTGAATAATCCATCATTTCTTAGAATTCCAACCAGAATCAGTCAGAAGAGGGTCATAATTTATGGGCAAATCAGTCAGATTTGAGATTGCGACTCATGGATTTTGGCTCGAGGTTTATCCATATGGATACATAACATTTTGGGATTATAGGTGATGCCAGTTCACGATTGAAATTCTAATTCTCGACTCCTAGTTCTAATTCCTCACACTAATTTATAATCTTATTTCGACCCTGATTTCTACACTGTGTCTGATTGACTTCGACTCTAATAAGTGGTTGAAGTTTTTCAAGGCCAATTTAGTATAGCTCAAAGGTCGTCCATAAATTATAGTCTAGCCCCGCCTTCTTATATCCTCTCGGTTGTCGGGGTCTGGATCGGAGGTTTATTATGAGTGTACTCCGAATTTGGTTGTATGCTAAGGTAATACGCAAGGTAATGACTTTTGATAAAGAGTAATTCTTAGGACATCATTTTTTGAGTTAGTATACAAAATTTGCATTCCATAGAACTCGGCGGAGTGTGAAGTGTTGACCAACCAGTCTTCTCTTTGGTTTTTGAGTTGATGGTAGGTAATCTTGTAAAAATTCCGTCTACCTATCTCCCTATCGTTAGTATGACGAAGTAGGCTTGACTTCATTTCATTTTCTGACTGCTACTACATTTAAAAATTATCAACTCAATCATTATACCCACAGTTGTTCTTGGGTTTGATGTTTGAATATTTCTGATTTTCTTGCACATAGGCAACTTTTGAAGTTTAATGGATTCATAATTTAATGGTTTCTCCAGTATTTAGCTATGGTCAGAGGTTAAACATTGATCTGAATAAGACAGTATGATCATAAGACTAACCCGGTTAGTATTTTAGCACATATTATTTCCAAACGATTAGATAAAGCACTTTAATTAGATCTACTAACGTTAATAAACCCCTTATATAGTCCCATGTACACTAAATTCCACACGATTAATCTTTTATTAACTGTAAAGGAACGTCTTGATTCTGGCCAACCAATGCCTGACTATTTACGTAATCACCCAGTATATTACGCTGGTCCAGCTAAAACACCTATGAATTATCCTAGTGGGTCTTTTGGACCAACCACAGCTGGTCGCATGGATTCTTATGTTGATCAGTTTCAACAGGCCGGAGGAAGTATGATTATGTTGGCCAAAGGTAACAGATCAAAAGCTGTAAGTCAGTGTTTGTTAACATGTGAACTTGTCTTGTTAACTTACTGCAGAATACACTCGCTTTTTTTAAATATTCTGAACTGTTCTACGTAGTCACTTATTTCACTCAGTAAATAATATTGCCTTTTGTGATATGATTATTTTTGGCAGCTCATGTGTTTACAGATCATTTAATCAACAATCGAAAACAGTGTTTAATAAAGTTTCCATTGTAGACTGTTATTGAACTGATAGAACAGCTGAAAATATTTTCTCATTGTACAGACGGAGTTGACCATACACAATTCTGGATAAAGGTGCTCGTGTCGTATTGTTTAGTATACTATGTTTTGCGATCAGGCGAACATTGAGTTAACGTCAAAGTGCTCCTGATTATCATAACATATTCCAGTCTTTGTAGTGTAACAACTGTCTGTCTCACTATCAGCGTTCATACAACTTTCTAGATACACAAACTTTACTCTTTTCATTGGTTAATTATCTACACTCACTTCAAGTACAATACTTTTCTAATTGATAATCACACACTATTTCTGCAAACACTCATCGTCTACTGTACAACTAGGATTTGATTAACACCCATATAGCCTCACTTATAATATAGTGGAAAAGTCGATAGATGCAGACTACTTAATTTGGGTCCATGTGGCTATCGTAACCAATGGTTGGAGACTGGGTGACATGGCTCAGAATCGATCATAATGACGTAGGTGTATACACTCTCTGTCTTCTCTTAAGCTATGAGATTAAAATTGCTTTATACATTTCTTTCTGTCAACTAATTCTTTCTTCCTGTACTATATTTTTATATGCAATCTTTCCATATATTTCCACCAATGAATTTACTACTTCTATGAATTCGGTGTTCACTTTGTTGTGCTAATTTGAACCGATGCATATATATGCCTGGTCCTACGTTGTAGCTGGCTGACTGACTGAGTGGGAAAGTCTGTCTTGTTAGTTGATAATAGTTTTGAGTTTATGTTAACTAGTGGGATCGGGAGCATGATCCTCTCAAATGCTTCAATCTTGGACGGAATAGGCCCCTATACCCTCGCTTGTTTTAGCTGCTCTTCGTTTACCGACTGTAGTCGGGGATCGATCCTAATATACTTTTTGTTCTTTGATTAATGTTACTGCGATATGAATAATACAACATTGTTACATATCAAAGGAAACACTGGCTACTGAATAGTTTGTTATAAAACAATCACTGTGAAGTGTGTTTTTATGTTATTTTTAACTGGATATTTGGATCTTTGTTTTGATATTACAGGTGGCAAATGCATGTAAAAAACATGGAGGCTTTTATCTAGGTTCAATTGGTGGTCCAGCTGCAATTCTTGCTCAGAATTGTATAAAAAAAGTCGAAGTTCTTGAATATCCTGAACTAGGTGTGTTAAATATCCTATTAAATTAAGCTATTGTTTTATTTTGAGAATTTTCATCACTTAAACTAATTTTTTGTAATTGATAATTTAGGGAAGAGAATTTTTATTTTTAATCTGTTCAATTTTGACAATTAGGCTTATCTATAAAACTTAAATTGTCGATTATCTAACAGTCAAATTTATTCAAGATTCTCTTCATATATGTATTAAGTTATTGTTGTTCCTTTAATTGAAAAGGTTTTATCACGTAGGTTTTTTTAAAATATTAAACTGTAGAAAGAGTATAGAAAATTTGACTTGATCTTAATTTTTGTAAGTTGAGACAAGTCATACCCTTGTTACTTGTTTTATGTTCAAGGAAGCTGCTTTAGTTAGGTTCATCATTAGCAATCAAGTTAGAATTTCATATGTCGCCATATTTGTTTAATAAATCGTCGCGCTTTTTCAAAAAACAGATGCAGTTTAGACTACTGTGTTCCTTGTGACTATTGCGTCAAGATGTCCATTTTTTAGGCATGGTAGCTACTTTCCTAAGTACTAATCTTCATTACTATTTTTGTTATTTCCTATTAAGAGGAAAGGGAATGAATAATTCCAGTGTCATAGTTGAAATTGCAAGAATCCTCATGACTACACAGGTATCTACTCAAATATTATCTGTAACACAGTAAATAAATTTCATGTTTACTTTTTTTTTTAACTATATGCTTCATTCAGCTGTTATGCCGTGGTAATACATTTATAAACACCTTATGTTGTTTCTCTGTACATGGAACTTGTTAGGTGTTTATATATATTTCAAAGGTGTCATAAATAATCTAGTCTGGCTAATATCGCACTATATCTTGGTGTCCGAACTAAAATTTGTCATGTGTTAACCCATCAGAACTGACCCGACTCTAGCCATTCGCCACCATGTTTCCTGTTGTTAATTAGGCCTGTCAGCAGTCATATACTGATTTTAGATAAGTTTTAAGTTATATTTTAAAAAGATCCACATGTTTGATATCAGAATAATATAATCTTCAAGAAAATAATTATTGTACATGGTTCTATATCATGGGTCATTGTCGAAGCTGTGTATTAATGATCTAAGGTGTCACACAAATTGTTACCAACGGCTTAATTTTAATTATTTTGTGTGTGCAGTCAATATTATCACTGTATCCTTTTGTTTCGAATTAACAATAATATTCATACTCATGGTTAATAAAATACTAGGCTCAATAGTTTTATTGATTGTAGATTAATTCATTCATCTTTCCATTTTCTATAAGAATTTATAACATATGGCAACACTTTTTCATATTTTCTGTTTAATAATGATTATTATTATCGTGTAACGTTTGAAAAGGTACGTTCACTCCTTGTTTTGTCTTTTTATTCTGACTGTTCATTCAATTGAATATATATGTATTTATTGTTTCAGGAATGGAGGCCATTTGGCGTGTTGAAGTTGTAGATTTTCCTGCTTTCATAGTTATCGATGATAAAGGCAATGATTTCTTTAAAGAATGGCAAGTAGAATGAAAAAGAAACTAATTGGCGAAATACTTTTAAAAAATATCTGAAAGTTTTTCTTTCTAATTTCATTTATTGGTTTATCAATTTATCTGGTCGTATCTATTTTCATTGTTTAATTCTTTTGTTGTAACTTGTTCTTTAATTGTGAATACAAGTCATTCACAATATACAGCTACTCAGGTGTGTTATCTTAGTGTCAGATGTTAAGCAATTAATTGATTTGATGACTGTAATCTTCTGTGCTATTTCATTAAAATAAAACCATCTTAACTGAATCAATATTTCAGTTGTCTTACAACGGGGTCGGTTTCTTACAGTCTACAAACATTGGTTAACTAAATTTAATGTTTTTATGTATAAATTATTTTAGGGCATCTTTACGAGGAAGCAATATAGTTAGTTAATTTACGTAAGTGAAAATGATCGAGACCATTTTTCACAATCGTTTATTATTTAATTTAACTTGCGACATTGATTCGAACATTAATGTGGAAGTAGGGTCAGTGTTACTGGACGAAATTTGGTCCCATCATAAGATATTTTTTTCCAAACAGCTTAACTCGGCTGTTGTTTTAATTTCCGGTACATTTAGTGAATATTGAGTTTTATGTCCTAATGGTATACTTTTCTAGTAAAATAACCCAACATTGACATCTTGAGTCATCATGACAGGTTTCCTAAGTCGGAGTTCTTGACAAAATCCACTGGTATTTACGTGTGAGCAGCGTTAAAATATTGGTATTTTCTAAAGTAAGAATATATGTAGATAAATGTAAGCAGACGTGGATAGTGGCTAGAAGTGGAATTCAGGACTCGCGTTTCGTCGTACTTGGGACAAATCAGCTGGATGTACCTGCATCTCAGAGTTGTTCACTCTGGCACTCGAACTCAGTACCGTTCGCTCCAAACACCAGCACGTTATCCACTTAGCTACTGAGTCCTGATAACCACTTGCTTGTACAATGGGGTGAAGTTTAAATTCACTTCATATTGTTTATTTGAATCTTTCCATTGATGTTTATTACTGCAATTAATCAGTCTTATTGACAAATGTGCTATCTTTTGATGATTACTTCGATATTGTTTTATAATGTGAATTAAGGCAATACTCACAGTATGCACATATGCCAATAAGAGACTGATCGATTGCAGTCCCATACATCAATGGGAAGATTCAAGTAAACAATACGAAGTGAATTTATGTAGACAGCTGTTGGTGTGAATTTCATGTAGCGCTCTTACAACTACTGGGAGTTTTGAGTACTAGAGTAGGCACACATGAACTCATATAAGCACAATGCGAAGTTGCGGTTAGCACTTTCTATTTTAAAGAAGCTGTGCGTAATTGGGATTCGTAGCCATTTCTAAACTCACTTGTACTCATGTGAGGGTGTATTTCGTATTATTAAAGTTGTAATAGTAGGTAGACTAGGATTAGTCTTTTTATAGGTGGCAATCCTCTGAGCTTCTCATGTACATGTAAGATGTGGTTGAGTTTGCTTGCGTCAGTAGTTATTTATATATGATAGTTGGTGATCAGTGCAGGTGTATATCGGCTTTTTACATGCCAGTGGATAATTCTAATAAAGAAATTTTGAACCATTTTAAGTAGTCATTGTTGGATATTTGTATTGCCCGATTCACATGTATGGTGAAACTTAGAATTGTTGGAATATAATATGTATAGATTATAGAGTTGAGGATTAGGTTAAGTGTATAGCTTACATATGTTTCCAGCAAAAATATACTAATGTCTTTTGAGTATCGGGGGAAATTAGCCTCTTGTGGTTCACTTTTTTTCTTGTCAATTTCTTGAGGATTTTATGTCATTCCTTGAAGAAGATTTATGTTGTCCTAATCTAACTGGCTTTGATGGTTAACATGAGGATACTGGTATTTGATGAATATTTTAATTCAATAAATACTTATCTCATGGATTAGTTTGATTACATAAATAATGGTTTAATTATTTTGTTGGATAAATCCCAAAGTTATTAGGTAGATAACGTTAACACACGAACAATTTGTGAGGAAAACCAATAACTTGATCGAAAATTATCAGTCATTTGAAGGAGAACTATAATTCAAGATAAATATGATGGACCAAGTTTATCTTTAACAAAATTATGTATTGGTCATCGGCAATCTAATTAAGGAAAGCAAAGAAAGAAATTAATCTATCCAATCTATAGGTCATCTACAACTGATCGATTATTGATTGGTAATTTCACATTCTAATGAGCAGCTTTAGTTGTTCTATTATTCGTGATGCGGGATTAATTTTCTTCACATTTATAACGTGGAATGATTAATTACATGTTTTGTTTTCCGAAATGTCATACAGATTACTCGAGATATTGCTCAGTCTTAACACAACCACAAATATTATGTTATTAAGCAAAGAAAGGGGATTTATGCAGTCAAGAATATCTCATGACAATTAAGGGCAGTTTTCAGAATCATATTAACTTTCATCAGGGAAAAAAACTTCGAGATGTGTCGACTAATCAGTGTAAAGGTCAACTATGTAAAATATATTATACAGGAACTGCTGTTACTAAACTAATATTCGTTTTGTACTCTATCCAGTAAATAGCATATTTCTGCAAAATCGTTTCATTTTTGAAGAAAAAACTTAATTGTATGTCAGTCATAATTGACCTCTTATCAGTTAAAGTAAGTTGGTTTTATTTACATTGGAGTTTACAAATGACGTAACAACAACTGTGTTTTGAAAGGTAAACAATAATAATATCTAAAAGTAACTGTGAAAAGATTGGTAATTCATAATGCTGGAAGATTATATATGCGTATATTTGAGAATTTAAATTCGATAATACAAGTGGAGTTGTCAATCACAGATATTTTGTTTCAGTGCTCTTATTCTATTAAATTACTTAGATAGATAAAACAGTTCTGAGATAAATGTAAGTTTGTAAACCTAAAAAAATTATCATTCATAATTTACAATGCCAAGTAAAAAGCTGTCAACTAATATTTTTTGATTAAAATATATTAATGAAATTAAGTGATAGTCTCAATTGATTGGTCACTGGGTGGTGATCAATGTCATGTGTGTCAAGTCCTTCTTAGTGCAGATCGAATGCTATCGACAAAGTTGCAATGTGGCCACTAGTCTAGGTGACTCGACATTGCATGCACTATGCTGAGATTAGATGGTGGTTGGAGGTAGTCAACAGGAAACCCAGGTTTCGTGCTGCTTGGCACTCGTCAGCAAGGTGTACCTGTTATCTTGCAACTTGGATGATAGCATTCCATCTGCACTAAGAAGGCCTTGACACACACGACATTGATCACCACCCAGTGATTAATCAATTGTGAGAACATCCCAGTCCTACAGGAGGTTGGTTGCGGTCTGGATAGCCCAGCGATAACGTCTCTGATTGTGAAGCTGGGTGACACGAAGTCGGATCCGTCAGGGAGCACCAGTTCCCTCAAGATTACAGGTACACCTTGCTGATGAGTGCCAAGTAGCACGAAACTCGGGTTCAGGGTTTCCTGTTGACTACATCCAACCACCATCTTAGTGATAGTACCTCTGATATTGACTAATATTGTAGTATCAGCGATAGGAAATATTTATGAGAACGAAAAGATTAGGAGGATTGTACTATTTGTAAGATCTATAGGTCATAGCTTTGACTGTATTTACAATCATTAGTTAACATTGCTAAGAAGCCAAAAATTATAATGAAGCAACATTCTACGTTTTTTGTTTAGTTTCTAAGTGGATGATAACTGCCTAGAAGTCATATTTAAATGTATTGATACTGTTTCATTTCAACTGTGCTATAACCGGTAAGAATAATTCTCTTTAAAAAAAATAGATTGTATGAACTGAAGAATTTGAGAATTCATGGAATGCCGCTTTATCTGTAAACTTGATATCTTTTTTGTGAATACTGTTTCCAATTATATGATGCGTTTTGTAAGCAATTGGAAGATAAATGTCAATTTATAAAAACTACCCATTCACTTTAATTTACATTATAATATAATTTTATCAGGTAGTTATGTTAATAATACACAAACTAATATTGGTAATCACAATTTATCCGTGCTACATAGACATAAATTACTGACTTAAATTTGTAAGATAAATATTTTTATCTCTTTTTTAGCTATAGAGAAATGATATTTCTAAAAATTTAATTAATTTTGAACTATAAACATTATTCATGTTGCTATGCAGAGAAATATTGAGATGGTGGAGAAGATTTGTAGCTCAGGTGGACGATTTTGATGTTTTGTTCTCTCATCTAGATGATTTGGTTGTGGAGCTTTCATCGTTCTTCTGAACGATAGAAGTCTATCTATCTGAAGTTTGTGCTGATGATGTCGTTCAAACGAACAACCATCCAGCTGAGAGAACAAAACTTCAGCAGAGAAATATCCTTATCATAATTTTATTTAGTAGCTAATAATGAACGTTATTAATAACTACTTTCTAATAAAAGGATATAGTTATCTATATTGACATATAAATTTTTGAAGAGATAGACATAATTTATTATGACAATAATTCATAGTTTGATATTTTCTCTAAAATTTTAGATAAACATTTTGATTCTTTTATTTTGTATTTAAATATCAATATACTAGTATCCGTTTTTTAGTATACGACGAATACAAGAGAAGTTGTGTTCTGATCTTTTATTATGATAAATTCTTTGGTAACAGTATAACGTAGGGGTGATCTTGAAAAGGAAAAAAAAAGAAAACGCCACAAACTCTTAACTAGTTAATCAATCAGAAAATAATTTTGATCAGTGAATAGATTATGAAAAATAATCAAAAATATTTCGAAGGGTAAATAGATTTTATATAATTAATGAATGTACTAGAGTGTTCTAAAAGTTGTTCTGTCAATAAAATAGAAAAAAATAACATAAATTCGCCCATAAATATAAAAAATATCTTATCGTGATCACGAAACGATCTAGGTTAGACAACTGTTGAAAAACTGGAAGCAGTGGACGACAGTATCGGAAATTGATTAAAGTCAGACTTGAATACCATTGGATGCCGCCTCAGCGGTTTGAAGGATAAGTGTTCGTGCGTGAGATCGAAGGTTTTGGGTCCCAACTGTGTGGTCGTCGATACACACTGTTTGGTAGCTCCATAATGAAACGAAACAGCTGTTCAGTGCCTCCAAATTTCTAATACTGTTCTAATTGAGATCGATTTGTGTCCCAATGAAATTCAACACTAAAAATCCTTATTGATAAAGAAGGTATGTCTGCTCAAACCCTCATAAAAACCTAGTTAGATTTTCTCAACTCCTCACATT